ACTGTTATTCAGATAATACAAGATAGATAAAATGGAATAAGGAGTACATGTTGACTTATTAACTATTAGTTGCTATGGTACAGCTTATTGTATTCCATCACTCCTATTAATACTGTTTGGATTTATCCATATGTGTAGAACTTTCTTTGTAAGAATTAAAGCCTTTTTGAAGAATCCTTATGTCATTGAAATTAATTGTATGACCCGATTCTATTGAGTGTAATGCTATCGCTGATTTATTCTCGAGTTTTCTTACATCAACTGAAGATTTAGGAATGTGCTTTAAGCATAGTTTTTGTTTTTCCACCCTCATATTCAGTTGTCTTGATGTTTCGTCTACATCTGTGGCATTACAATCACCACATTTGATTTCATAAATACAATTCTGTTGTTCGTCCTTGTGTATTGGATCTTTGATTCTTACTAGTTTTGATTTTAGAGGATTGTTTGTTCCAAAGTATACTCTTATATTATGAAGAGTTAAGATCCTTCTGAAATGCCTTTACAATATGGGATCACCAATGTGTTAACCCACTCACCCTTTTTGCTTAGCTCTTTTCTTTAATGATATCGTTTTACCATTCGTTCTTAATTATTCTTTTTATCAAATCCATCCGATAATTATTCATCATTAGAGTGGATATATTTGGGCAGCATCATTGATGAACACGATGGACCTGATGCAGATGTGAAGGTGCGGATCGGAAAAGCAAGAGCAGTATATTTACAACTGAGGAACATCTGGAACTCAAAACAACTGTCAACCAACACCAAGGTCAGAATTTTCAATACAAATGTCAAGACAGTTCTACTGCATGTGGTGGAAACCTGGAGAACTACGAAAGCCATCATCCAGAAGATACAACTGTTTATTAACAACTGTCTACACAAAATACTTCAGATCCGTTGGCCGGACACTATTAACAACAACCTACTGTGGGAGAGAACAAATCAGATTCCAGAGGAGGAAGAAATCAGGAAGAAGTGCTGCAAGTAGATAGGACACAGATTGAAGAAAGCACACAACTGGGTCACGAGACAAGCCCTCACATGGAATCCTCAAGGCCAAAGGAAAAGAGGAAGACCAAAGTACACATTACGCCGGGAAATGGAAATAGACATGAGAAAAATGAACAAGAATTGGATGGAACTAGAAAAGAAGGCCCAAAACAGAGTGGGTTGGAGAATGCTGGTCTGTGGCCTATGCTCCATTGGGAGTAACAGGCGTAAGTAAGTAAGTAAGTAAGAGTGGATATAATTAAATTCATTTCCATTTCTATATTATTTGATTCAATGACAACCTTTTGAACTCTGATGATCAAATTTTTGGTAGAGTGTAGATGTGCCGACTTCAAATCTAGAAATCTCCCTGAATATGTCGGCATTCGGAAAATACTAAATTTTCTACAATCATTATATTTCCTTTTAACTAAACAATCTAGAAAAGGTCATTTACATTCAGGAGATTCCAACCCATTGATGAACCTGATTTTGTTATAAATGTTGTTGACACCTTTAAATAGTTCGTCTAAACCATCTCGTTTTATAATGACAAAAGTATCATCTCAGTATGTTGACCAAACTTTTAGTGTATGTTCCCTTCCACCTACGTGTCAACAGTATTTATGACAAAATCAAGTTCATTAATGAGTTGGAATCTCCTGAACACAAATGATCTTAACTTGAAATATCATTGACCTTCTTCGTTTCCATGATAAATTTCTGAATGAACTCTGATCTGGTTCATAAATTCCCTGAGTTATCGCTTTTAATATACAAAAAAACATCAAGAAGCATTTGAGCTCCATCTGATCTCAGAAAATACTAACTGATAATTCCGATGGTAATCTTTCGTCTCTGTATCTTTGCAAATTATTGGCTGACTATATTAATGGTCAATGTGTAGTGAACAAGAACACAACTGGAGACAATCGAATGTATTTGACACGAAATTACATAGCATCTCAAAAAAATCTAAAAACCATATAGTAACTTGTTAATTTGCAAAATATCAATCCATCATCAGAAACTTGACTGTTCCTGTTGCGAACATCAATCCATTGTTTCAGATTTCATTGATCGTACGTTTTCATACCGATTGCATTCCGTTCCCGTTTGTTCCTCATCGACGTTCTACTGAAATACATTCTATGCCTGACCACCGTTATATACTACTTGTGTGGATATAGGTAACCCACACCACAAGTGTACAAGTTGATCTTGTATATTTTCAGATACTTTTGATCATATTATGAATTATATGCGATACACAAATCTTCATTATCGTTCTTCCATTGGTTTGTATATCTGAATACAATAAGATCTTTAAAGTGTAAGCAGTTAGTTTGTTTCTGTTATTGCTAAACTCGAAATTTATGCAGGCCTATTATTTGAATCATCGTTTTATAGCCTCAATAATTTATCATTTGTGTCCACTGTGTGGTACTATTTCAGTGCCACCACTACTTAACCTTAAGGTAAACGAAGGATAGAGAAATCGGAAAACCTTATTTAACTTCATTATCATTTATTGTTGGCCACCGACTAACATGTGACTGCATTTCCTGACGTTGCTCCACCGTCTTGTGGATTAGACCTTTAGGTCAAAGTTTCGAGGTGTAGACCCTTAAGAAAACCACCTGCTTCGGTTTATGCACCCTGACAGTATTCTAGTTATCACACAAATTGAATGATTTATATGGCGCATATCTATTTGGTGCCTTCTTGTACCAATGTTTATGTGTTTAAAAAATATTTACATTTATCGATACATTGCTTGAGGGTTTCTTTTTGCATACTATTTCCAAATGATAAACACAACCCACTTACAGTAAATGGATCTAAATTATTTAAGAGAAATTACAATGTTTATTGATTCAGAACAGAAATAATTATGCTGAAGCAACAACAACAACAACAGCAACAAAAACAATCAACGAATAACTGATACATGTAAATAGAATGAAAGAGTAAATTAGCCATTTTTTCTCTCTCCAAAAATCAATAGCATTTTGATAGCATCACTTAATATAGTTAGTAACCAACATTATAAATTTAATAATATGATAATAATGTCAATAGTTGAGATCATGAGTTAATTTAAGCTAGAGGACCACGGAAAATCTGGAAGCACTGGATGGCCGTTTCATCCTATCGTCGGACGTCTCAGCGGTCCTCAACATATGCTCACAAGCGACTGAATTCAAGAGGCATTTCCTCCAGTTCCAGTGAAAAGCCGTGACCAGTGGAGTTCAACAAGGTCTGCTTTGAGGCAGTTACTCACTGAAGACAATGGTGGATGTGTCGCTCAATTTAGTGGTTTAGTTGAAGTTAAACACTAACACCGTTGGATACCGACATGCTCAGTGGTCTAGAGATTAAGCGTTCCAAACCGATAGGTCCTGGGTCCGAACCCCTTGTGCAGGATCATGGATGCGCATTGTTGAGTCGCATACTAGGACGAAACTGTCGTCCATTGCTTCCAAGTTTTCCATGGTGGTCTAGCTTTAATTGTTTCATGAATTTAACTATTAAATCTTAGAATACTTTAAAATTGTCTGTTAATGAATTCGGTGGAAAAAAGAAGACAGAATATATTCACTAATGAAAAAGGTATAATATAATCAAAGATCAAGGTTTTCTAAGAAAAAAATTTGAAAGACTGATACATTTTGATACATAAAGTTTGTGATTTAAGACAATATCAAGGCAATCCGCATAGGATGCATATATGCTAACAAGGTACTGATCAATAACAGTCCTAACACAACAATGGGAAGATACAGGCAAACAATAACCAAGTGAATTTAGAGATTGAAAAACGTTCAAAACAAAGGTCAATCAATACTAATAGAATCTGATCTAAAGAATAAGAATAGTACTGTGGTGCGTGCTACTTGTATTGACATAAGTAGTAGATGATGTTAGCCATGAACAGAAGGTCTGGCAGCAGAGAGACAAGAGGATCGAACAGTAAAGAATGGAAACAGAATGCAATTTGTATGAAAATGAAAGAACAATGAAGTCTGAGTCATTTTAAGACAATTGATGGACATTTCGCAGATTACGTATTTACTTTATGATTGTTAGATTTTATTAACAAGTCCTGTAGTTTTGCTTTAAATACATTCGATTGTCCCCACTGGTGTTCTTGTTCACTACAGTACTATTCAAATAAAATAATATTGTGGTGTGAGCTACTTATCTTCACGTAAGTAGTATGTAACGATTGTCAGGAATACAGTCTATTTCAGTAGAAGATCAAGAAGGAAACTAAGAGAACAGAAAACAATTAGTGTGAAAATGCAGGAACAGTGAAATCTGAGATCGATGGACAATTGATCAACATTTTGCAAATGAAGTATTTACTGTATGATTCTCAGGTTTTACTAAAATGTTCTATAAGGTTGCATCCAATTACATCAATATGTAAAATGTAAAATAAGGTTCTCAAGTACCGATGAGCAAGTAATAAAAGTTTACAAATAAACATAATAAATATACTACGCCGCATTTGAAACATTATTGATTGTAACCAGCTCCGCCTGGAGTCCCTCCTAGGGCTACTGCCGGGCCCAAGCCCGGATAAAGGAGGAGGGTTGTGCATGGAGTTAGCGACCCCATCCCGTAGAAAACTAACTCGCTAAAAAACGCTAACCAGGATGAGGGTCGAAATAAACGAGATGAATTCATGGTGTTCTGATTAATTCACTGTTCTCTTTCTTATTTTTTTTAAGTTACTTACTTACTTACTTACGTCTGTTACTCCCAGCGGAGTATCAGCCGCCGACTACCGTTCTCTCTCTCTTTTCTTTGAAGTTATGTAAATGATAGATTGAAATTATCATTGATAATAAGAATGTTTATTTGTGCTTCTTTTAGTGGAATATTTTAAATTCCATAATGAAAATGATTTATTACCTTTTACATTAAAAACAAAAGCAGGGTGCATTAATACTGATAGTGAATTAACATAGTTGAAAAATTATTAGTTAACTTACATTTTCTATATTGTCAGTATAATAACCTGGAGAACATTCACACATATAATTGTCCATACTGAATGCATATGGATGATATTTTTTGTATACACACTGTAATAAGAGAATACAAAAGTAGAACGATAAATCGATTGATTAATATTATCAGTTTATTTGGTAAAGATAAATCTATTTGAGAATAATCGATACTTTGAATCGACTTTAGTGAAGTACTAGATAGTCAATGGAAATCAGGGTGAACTAAACACACAATTCATCTTAGGATCATATTCAGTTAGACAATCATCAACAACGTAGAACTTTATATGTACTTAGATCAGTTCAAGTTGCCATACCACATTACCACACTGATACAATTGTCGATTCAAATACCACAGTGGTAGAGATAGTAAAAGTATAAGCAGTGATCGGAAAGATTAGCGTTTGAAGATGTTAGTCAAGGAGTATAATTCAGTGAAATACATTTGCAAAGAGAAAAGAGAAAGTGACATGAAGAATTCAGAAGATTCGAATTTGGGAGAACACAAAGAGTGGATGCACCTGCTCCATTGCAAACGATTTTGAGCCATGGCATTCAAATTCTCTAACTATCGGTTGCTATCATCTTGCGGATCCCAACCAGGTAGTCTACACCTAACAACATGGCTCACTCAGTTCACGTGTCAGTGATTTCATGTATTTGTGCCAATGTTTTGGTCTGACTGTCTCTAGATTTCCTCCAACCTACTCCTACACCATAAAACATCATTCGTCTGAGCAGTGTGTGGTTGCTCATACTTAACACATGTCCCAGCCATCTCAACTGATGAAGTTTCATTACTTCATCAATTGATTTGCCATCATTACCTAGTACCCATTTCCTAACAACTGCATTAATTACTCGGTGATCCCATTACAATCATATTTCTTAGTAGCTAACACCTACATTCCTGAGAGGATCGATTTAAGACCATTTACGCCCCTAAGCAGATGCATTACAGTTATACCACTGAGTTTTTGTTTATTTATTTAAAAATCCAACCTCAATCAGTTGGTTATATAGCTTGATAGACATTAGACTCTGTAATCTAAAGGTTATAAGGTCACAGAGAAATTTGTGTATCCTGAATTTTAACCTTTCAAAGTGATGTTGAGATGTTGGATGATGGTTGGAAGTGACTGGCAAGAAATCCTGGACCTATGTTTTGTGTTGTTTGATACTCATCAACGAGATGTACTTTTAATCTTAAAAGAATTGATGCTTCCTGGTAGGCTACACAGAATCGAATTCATCAGGTAGCATCAGTTCCTATAAGATTACAGGTTAGCCTTGCTAATAATTTCCAAACAGCATGAAACATAGGTTCAGGAGTTTTGTCAGTTACCTGCAAACATCATATTAAGAAATTTCCTGTTTTGGATTTTTTCCATTGACTAATAATGTTATATGACGTGTATACTTAAACGCTTTTATAGAATGTTTACCAATTACTGAGAAGCCCAAAAAGTACCACCACATTAATTTGAATGTTTTTTCTCTCTTTTGTTCTTTGTGAAGATAATAGATGATTACTGTAGAATTCATCAACTCTGAGATGCAGGTACATCCAGCTGACGAGTCCCAACTAGGACGAAACGCGCGTCCTGGATTCCACTGCTAGTCACTATCCATCGTTGCTTACAAAAAGCTTGTGAATTAAGGTAACATCGAGGCAATCCGCACAGTATGTATATATGTCAATAAGAGACTGACCGATTGCAGTCCTAATCATCAATGAGAAGATTCAAGCAAACAACACTAAGTAAATTCAATCAAAGGGATAGCGTTCGAAATCTAACTTAGTCTACTATTTAAGTAAATTAAGAAATTGAACTATACTCGTTTTTTGATATTAGTCACACATGCTGATTAACCAGAATCTCATCAGGAATATATTTGCAAAGATTTCACCGCTTGAAAATGAATATTTTTTTTAACTCTAAAAACTTCAAAGAGTTCGAATCACAGTTTGATTTGATGACTGATATTGATCATAATAATATTTAGCTGACACAAATGGACCTACAGGTTGACAACTGCTTGAATGAACTCTTCAAACATATAACATTGACTGAATTATTTTCATGTAGAATGTTCCTTTCCATGTATAAACTTTAAGAAGTCAGAATTTATATCTGAACCCATAGATGTAAACTTGGAGTAACTATAAAGTTAGTTGAGGTGTGCTACTGATGTCAACACATATAAGTAGTATGTATCATCAATCGAAAGTGAAATGCCTAGTGGCAGAAGGTTAAGAAGATCACAGAGAAGAGAACGAGAACAGTGAGTGACTAGTGTGAAGGCAAAGAAATAATAAATCATGATTCCCTTTGAAGGATTGGTAATGTTCAGTGACAATATCACGTGAATTATGATGGAGTTTTGTTCTCTGAGATGGATGGTTTGGTGGTGGAGCTTTCATCATTCTTCTGAACGACATCGTCAGCACAAACTTCTACATAAATTATGTCGAACTATGACAACTTGTGTTCAATCATAATGTATATGATTCTGAAACGTTTTGAACTTTCAAATGTTGTCCTCAGTCAGTTTATTACATTTTAATGATAATGTTTTAGCCTAATCTAAACCATAAGCTACATTGAATACTGCATGTTTATTCTTAGTAGCGTGCGCATAAAGGATACATTAATTTTGGAATCCGTACAGAGACGATTTACACTTTGTATGCTTGGAACTGATTGTACCTTGACTTATAATTCCAGGGGTAATAAACTTGGGCATGACGTTTTATGGAAGAGGAGACTCAAACTAAACCTGTTCTTTTTCTTCAAAATACTTAGTAAATTATCTTTTGCATCCAGTCAAGTAATTCAATATGCAGAAACTTATAATTACAACATCCATAACTCCTTGTCACCAGTGAAACAAACCCATTCTAAATCATCTCTCCACATGAATTCCAGACTCTGGAATAATATATTACAATCTATCTGTAAGATAAAATCAGTCCCATTCTTTGTTTGCTGCATTGATGTATATTGCTCCTCTGAAAATGCATTAAATGTTATAGCACTTGTAAGTATATCTTAATCCACAAGTGAGATTATAGGAACTTTAAATGTTTAGCCATTCTTATTACAGAATTCATTAAGTTAAACCGCCTACCTGCTGTTACTTTACATTAACACTGTCCCTGTCAAACCTAATTAATTTGAATAACATCTTACATAAACAGTATATCACTAAGTCACATGATACATGCATTATGTTAGACCTGATTAACATATTTTAGTAAATATTGCTTCGTTGTTCCATGCTCTCTGTTTTCCATTTTACTTTCTCTAGCTGTAGATGATCATAATTAATTCGTTATGGCACAGGAAATGGCCTTAAATGCACCGTTCATAAATCAACAGGATGTCCATTTGAGAAGAATTAAAAGTACCCGACTGATGCATTGCATTACTGTAAAATACATGTACTACCTAAACAATTACTAAACTAGTAAACTTAAAACATCTAATGTTACTATTTATATTGAATTGATCATATATATATAATATCTGTCTGCAATAATGTACCTGTAAGAAGCTGTGACCAGTAGAGTTCATTAAGGTCTGTTGTAAGGCAATTACTCACTGATGACAACAGTGGATGGTTGTGCAATGTCATGGATTGGTTAAAGTTAGACATTAACACCGTGGGATACAAGCTGGCTCAGTGGTCTATAGGTTAAGTGTTCGCACGCGAGACAGATAGATCCTGGATTCGAATCCCTTTGTGCAGGATCATCGATATGTACTACTGAGGAGTCGCATACGAGGACGAAACGGTCGTCTAGTGCTTCCAGATTTTCAATGGTGGTCTAACATTGATCCATTCCCTTAGTAATAGTATATCAAGCATATTTTGCCATATATAAATAAAATTAATACATGATGATAATTTATCAACTGGAGTGAATGCATAATATCATGATTTCTATATTAGATTAAATTTAAAATTACCTATAATCTAAAAATAACTTTTAAAAACTTTGTTTAAGTAACTGAAACTTAGGAAACTAGGCGTACTCAAATCTGTTGAAAGTATAATATCACTGGTTGAAATCATGAGTCAATTGAAGCTAGGCCACCATGGAAAACCTGAATTCACTGGACGGCCGTTTCGTCCTAGTATGGGACTCCTAAGCAGTGCGCATCCACGATCCCGCTCCCCATGAGATATCAACTCACTGAAGACAATGGTGTACGGTGGCACAACTTCGTGGATTGGTTGAAGTTAGACATTAACACCGTTGAATTCCGACTCACTGGTCTAGTTGGTTAGGCGCCTAGTGCGGGACTGATAGGTCCTGCGTTCGAATCTCGCGAGGGCGGGATCATGGATGCGCATTGCTGAGTCCCATACTAGAACGAAACGGCCATCTAGTGCTCTCGGGTTTTCCACAGTGGTCCAGCTTCAATTGACTCATGATTTCAATCAGTGAAATTTCTAAAAATCTCCACAAAACCCATTCTGAAAGTATAATACTACGATTCATGTTCAGTATCAACATCTTTCCATAAACTATATTATATGATTGATGTCAATAGGTTCTATACACCGTTTATAATTCGTTTTAAAGACTTATCTTACAGTAAAGGCAATATTCCATGGATTGAATAGTTTAAATATGAAGCTTTCATTACTACTCTGGGTAAAATCATCTATAACTGCATTGATGAGTTTAACCTTATTGATAGAATTTGATCAGCATTAAAGTACAATACAGATATAATATTGTTCAATTCTCTTTAATCAGTCAGTGTATACAAGCAATTTTCTTTTTATACATCAGGTGAAGCAATCTCTCATAAACACAGTCACTAGTACAGAGTGATTGGACATTTCTAGAATAATTCTAAAAAACTTGATTTTATATGAATTTGACAATGATGATATTGTCCATAACGACAATCAAAAGATTCAGCAAAGGAAAAACAACTGTCATCAACAGTTCACTTGGTGTTGCTTTACTTGAATCTTTTCATTGTTATTTAGGACTGTAATTGATCAGTCTCTTATTGGCATATGTGCATCCTATGTGGATTGCCTTGATATAGCTTTAAGTCACAAGCTTTTTAAGCAAAGATGGATAATGACTAGCAGCGAACTCCAGTTTGACTCATGTTTCATCCCATGTCGGACTAGTCAGCTGGATGTACCTGCATCCAAGAGTGAACATCAACTGTGTGATACAGGTGTATCTAGTTGACGAGTCCAAAACAGGATGAAACACGCGTCAAACGTTCATATTAAGAGGATATTAATATTACGAATAACTGATAGCATTTATTTCAAAACAAAACGAGTTATCATTAGAGATAATCTTAGTTTAATGTGAAGATAAGGTGAAAGGAATAAAAGAAAAAGTGTCTTCCATCTCTTCTATTTTTAAGGATCTATTGAAATTCTAATGTGATTACATTACAAAATTCCTGGTTTTATGAAATAAATTATTACATCCTACTACCGTGTAGCTATCAACTGCGCCTGGAGAAGATTTGGAAGATGTAAAAATGTTTACATATTTGGGCGGCATCATTGATGAACACGGTGGACCTGATGCAGATGTAAAGGCGCGGATCGGTGAAGCAAGAGCAGCATATTTACAACTTAGAAACATCTGGAACTCAAAGCAACTGTCAACCAACACCAAGGTCAGGATTTTCAATACAAATGTCAAGACAGTTCTACTGTATGGTGCAGGAACCTGGAGAACTACGAAAACCATCATCCAGAAAATACAGGTGTTTATTAACAATTGTCTACGCAAAATACTTCAGATCCGTTGGCCGGACACTATTAGCAACAACCTACTGTGGGAGAGAACAAACCAGATCCCAAAGGAGGAAGAGATGAGGAAGAAGTGATGGAAGTGGATAGGTCACACATTGAGGAAAGCACACAACTGGGTCACAAGGCAAGCCCTCACATGGAATCCTCAAGGCCAAAGGAGGAAAAGAGGAAGATTACAGAACACGCTACATCGAGAAATGGAGATAGACATGAGAAAAATGGACAAGAATTGGATGGAACTATGAAAGAAGGCCCAGAACAGAGTGGGTTGGAGTATACTGGTCGGTGGCCTATGCTCCATTGGGAGTAACAGGCGTAGGTAAGTAAGTAAGTAACCATGTAGCTATCGCACTAATGTGATGGTTTGATTTGCCTAACGACCTTTGCTTCAACACTTGTTTTTATGATGTCTAACATGTTGGAAAGGTTAATTAGAAAGCATTGAGAATCAGAACAGAAACATAACATTTAATTGCAAAATCACACTAAGTCCTAGGTTCACTCCTAAGTGGTTGAGTGGACATGCATTGCTGAAGAGACCATCAGAAACAGCCTTCTATGGGAGAGAATAAATCAGCTTCTAGCTGAGTAGGAAATTAGAAAAAGACAATGTTAATGGATAGGACATACATTACAGAAATCACCAAACAGCATCACGAGGCAAGCGCTAACTTGGAATCGTGAATGGAAACGAAAAAGAGGAAGGCAAAAGAATACACTGCGTCAGAAATTGGAAAAGGATGAATAGCAACTGGAAGGAACTGGAAAGGATTTCTCAGGAACAAGTTGAATGGAGAATGCTGGTGAGTGGCTTATGCTCCCATATGAGCAGTAACAGGTGTAAGCAAGTAAGTAAAGAGGCCAATACTAAAATAAAATAAATGTCCATTATTTCCTACTTTTCTGTGGTTGACTAACCAACGTCAATCAGTGATTTAAAGCTTTATTCTATTGAATTAAGCGATTATTGCTAAGATTTTGGATTGAAAAGTTCAGGTTATCAAACCAAAGGATTATAGCTGAGTGGATAACGCGATGAAGTTTGAAGTGAATGGTACCAGGTTCGAGTCCAAGAGTGAACATCAACTCTGAGATGCAGGTACATCCAGCTGACGAGTCCCAAATAGGACGAAACGCGCGTCCTAGATTCCACTTCTAGCCATTATCCATTTTTGCTTATAAACCCTGTGATTTAAGGCCATATAGAGGCAATCCGCATAGTATGCACATATGCCAATAACAGACTGATCAATTGCAGTCTTAAACCTCAATGGGAAGATAAAAGCCAAACAATACCAAGTGAAGATCAGTAATTATATTTATTACTAAATTAAATGATACTCAGTCATATAAAAAAGAAATACTATATAATTCTATACTATGATGACTATTACTACTACTACTATTATTATTATTATTATTATTACTACTACTACTACTACTACTACTACTATTTTTGTTATTTGTTATTTGTTATTATTATTTGTTATCTATCAACTTACTCGTGTTGTTGCTCCACATCGATTTATATTCAAAGCACATTGATCAATAGTATAATCCTTCAAATCAAATTCGAAAAATAAACTGGAAAAGAATTCAAGAAAATAAATTATTTGCAAATTATCATACTACTTATTATCTATTTGAAAGTGATTTATATTAGAAACTAATTTCAACTGATAAGCTGATGAACAGAATGATAATATGACCCAAGTTTATTGAAGTTATCAATATATTACACTGGATTACAAACAATTCAATGATCTAAAGTGAATAACATATTTGTAAGGTAATCTAAAATGTTCTAGAATCGATCTATGACAACGTCATGAATTTGTGTTGCTGAAGATTTCATGCACAGACGAAACGGCATTTCGTTACTGATTACTTTGTAATCTATGAGGAAAAAGAACTATCTTTAAACTGTACAGTTTCTGTAAGCTTTTTCATTCAACTGTAACACATACTAGTATGGTGTATACTGCTTATGCTGACAGATATAAGTAGTATGTAGCAGCAATAGAAAGTAGAATGTCTGCCAGCTGGAGATTGAGATAAAGGAAAGATAAATGGAAACAGAGAGGAATAGGAATAAAAACTGAATTGAAAGAATGAAGAAGTATGTACAGGATAACTGAAGGAAGATGTGCAAACAATGTACTTAATATATGGATCTCGTATTTTACGAAAGCACGTGGTCGATAGCATTCGATGTGCACTAAATAAGGACTTGACACACATGACATTGATCATCACCTAGTGATCAGTCAATTGTGATTACGAAAGCACTATATAGTTTTGCACTAATCAGTAAATTAAATTACTCCAACTAAGTTCTCGTTTACTACACTAGTACATTACTAAGAAAGTCAGATAGTTTAAGGCAATCATGTTCAGTTAGCCACATTTCATAACAAACTCCAGTCTGTGTTTAAAACAATTAGTCCCTTTGATCTGATCACACCTTATATACTTGTTAAGAACATTTATATGTGAAAATTAAAAGGTCAATTAGACAGGTTAAAGGTAACCCTTAACAAAGGGAAAAATACACAAAAGTACACAAAAACAAATGTGATTATCACTCTTGATAATAAATCAGTATTACCAGGGTAGGTTAAGTGTAAGGACAAATTGTTTTTGAACACAAAAAGGAGGTTTCAATTTCCATATAGCCAAGGCTTCAATAAACCTTAGTATACGTCCTTGAAGGCTTTCGTACAGTACAACAAATGCTGATTTGATATCAACCTTATAACCAGTCTCAATCAAATGTTTCGCAATGGAGGATGATGTCTGTCTATCGTGTGATCTTATTTGACCATTGGAATCCATTTGTTTCTGCAATCATTTTGCTATGTGTTCATATATAAATGATCTTAACGAGTATATTAGGTGTGATCAGATTGTTCTCGATGTATTGCGTAAATATATCACATAATTCTGATAAACTTCGTCTAGCCTGTATGTTAAAAAACACTACGTACTTACAACAAATCCACTATAATAATACCCAGCTAATTTTAATATTTAGAGTGGTATATTTCGTATCGTTGTTCTATACTATCTTGTTGGTTACGTATGTTCCATTTTGTCTAGTTTAACCTTTAATTTTCTTATATAAATAACATAAAACGTAAATGTATGATTCAGTAAGTCAGTCAGTCGTCCGTCCGTCCGTATATCAGTTCAAGTTGCCATACCACATTACCACACAGATAAAATTATCAATTCAAGTACCATAGTTTCAGAAGTAGTAAAAGTATAAGCAGTAATCGGAAACATTAGGATTTGAAGATATTATTCAAGGAGTATAATACAGTGAAATACATTTGGAAAGAGAAAAAAGAAAACGGACATGAAGAATTCAGAACATTCGAATTTGGGAGAACACGAAGAGTGGATGCACCTGCTCCATTGCAAACGACTTTCAGCCATGTCATTCAAGGTCTCTAACTATCGGTTGCTATCATCTCGCAGATCCCAACCACCTAGTCTACACTTACCAACATGGCTCACTCAGTCCACTTGTCAGTGACTTCATGGATTTGTGCCATGTTTTGGTCTGGCCGCCCTTAGCTTTCTTCCAACCTACTCCTACACCATAAAACATCACACGTTGTGGCAGTCTGTGGTTGCTCATACGAAACACATCTCCCAGTCATTTCAACTGATGAAGTTCCACTAGTACATCAATTGATTTGCCATCCTTACTTAGTACCCGTTTCCTAACAACTGCATTATTTACTCGGCAGTCCCAGGATATACCAGTAATGTTTCGAAGACTCCTATGATCAAATATTAGTAACCTACGAATATCCTCTACTCTTACCGGTCATATTTCACAGCCATTGCCATCAAGGCATACGACAATATAAATACCCCTATTACATCAAATTTACATTTTGACTTTGTTTATTCACAATATTTATTTATTTATTCATTTTGTATATTTGAAAGTTCGAAAACCAAAAGTTTATCTTTCTAGATGGAGTTTTGTTCTCTTAGCTGGATGGTTTTGGTTCCATCTGAAGTTTGTACTAATGATATCATTCAGAAGAACGATGAAAGCTCCACGACGAAACTATCCAGCTCAGAGAACAAAACTTCATCAAAAATTATCCACCTGAGCTACAAATCTCCACCATCTGAATTTATCTTCTAATTCAATCAAACTTGATTGTACCCCATGTATATAACATACATGTGATCTAGAACGAATTCCTTCTATTATAAAAACTCATATTATATCTATCAGTATTATGTACATACATGATTAGATTTACATTGAAAATGATTCTTCTCTATATACATTAACTTCTCTAAGCTCAGTAAATGAAACTTAATCAAAATATACACTATTTCACTATGGTTTTATTTCCTATGAATCTAGGCTATTTAAGCTTCTGATCTCATTCAATTATTATAACAGATAAATATAGATAAATAAGGGGATAGTTAGATAGATAGATAGACATAAACAATACAGGGTTAACAACAAATACGGATCATCCAATATGGATTGAAATTGATATTGGCATCGATATCATGAAATTGATTAGGAAAAATAAAATAAAATAAAATTACCCTCAATAGTAATAAAAGACTAAATATAAGAATGACAAAATGAAGGGGGTGAGGTCGTGGATGCACACTGTTGAGGAGTTCCAAAATAGGACGAAACGGCTGTCCAGTGATCGGACAAAATGAAGGAAACTAAATTATCTGACATCAGTATAATACAGTATGAATTACGTTCAATCTATAATGACCAATTTTTCGAACCTGAAGTCTATAATCATTATTTAAAGTTATGATGGATTTATCAATTAGATCTTAATTGGTTGTTTAAAACTTGGATTAAAATCAGTCAGTCAGTCAGCTACAGTGAAGGATCAGGCACATATATACATCGGTCCAAGTTGCCATACCGCCTAAGCACAACAAGATGAACACCGAATTCATAGAAGTAGTTAATTCAATGGTGGTAATATATAAAAGAAAGATTGCATATAAGGATATAGTACATGATGAAAGATTTAGTACGTAGCAAGAAAGATATGAAGCGATTTTAATCTCACGGTGTAAAGGGAAACAAAGAGTATATACATCTACACTATTGTGATCGATTGTCAGCCATGTCACACACAGTCTCCAACTATTGGTTACGATAGTCACGTGGATCCCAACCGTCTTCAACACTATTCAGGATTGTGCGTCGTGATAATCGTTGTTCAGACATACGTAACACGTGGCCCAAACATCTCGATCGATGCAAACTCACAAACTCATATATTTGCCACTTATTTCTTTATTTGAACACATTAATATCGGTACAATGGGGTACCGAATACATATGTGCTACACAAGTCACTTGATTTGTGTGTAAGCTGTGATAATGCCCGGGTGCCCAGACCTAAGAAGATGGTTTTCTTAGGTGGCCACGAACCAAGCCTTCGACATATAGGTCTGATCCACAAGGCAGTGGAACAAGTCAGGAGATGCAATCCCATGATAGCCAGTGATCAACGATTGGTTCGTACGCCATTTGTTCCCTCAGGATCCTGGAGTGCATGTGCACCATTGGTTTGGAATCAGGGTTTTCCTACTCCTCTAGGTGGACTCTCTGTTTCCACCAACCCGGTTCAATTGCCGTACATCTGCTTTTCGTCCTCTCAACTTGATGACCAACAGTAGTGCCACAAAGAGGTAATGAGTAGGACTTTTGTGGTAGTGGTTGTATGCACGTAACCATGTGAGAGGATTTCGAGATGGAGAGTTGACACTCCGCACTCTTGACCGTACCAGGGCATTTGGGGGCACCATCGGTCTTGTTCTCATGATATCTCTTTTCATTACAAAATGTGTTTGATGCATATTTTAGTCCCTTTTTTGAGGACAAAAGAGGAGGAACGTACACGAACTGTCCTAGTGATGTTTCTTTAAGCTTTCAATAATCAAATTCGAGATAGGTTGTCAACATTTTATTAAAGCGCCTAAGAATATGAGATTAGTGGACATAATCAGTGAATTACAACAAACCGAAATTATGAAGTGAATTATCGAAATAAACGGACCTTTGATGTTTCAGGTGTTTAACTTTGATTTAGGTGTTATGCAAAATATAAAATAATACTTGTTAATGAACAGATTTAATTTTATGATCGATTATATAATAAGTTGGCTAGGACTTAGATTCAGTAAGATGGTTCTAAGATGATGAGGACACTGCTAACAGTCGGATTATGCGAACATAGGACTATTACTCTTACATGTCTAGTAATCGCATCAATTAAGATCAATCTAAATAGCATTTGTTCCAATTTTCTATAGTCTTTATGTCCAACCAATTGAGGGAAATTTTAGCTAATTTATTCCAGTAGAACTCAATTATTTGTATCTAATGCTTTCTATACCAATCATTCTCTGTTCTTATTTGCTTCTCTTGGATTTTCTCAACTTTCTGACGCTAGGCTTTCCACTTTCGATTGGTGTTACATACTACTTATATCTGTTGACATCAGTAGCACACATCACAGTTGTAGAATTTTTAGTTACTTCATAGTATAAGACTTTGTTGTTAC